GGTGTTGGATCCCCTGAAACTGGAATTGTAGATGGTTGTTAGCTACCATCTGGGTGCTGGAAACCGAACCCAGACTTCTTCAAGAGCAGCCAATGCTCTTAACTGCTGAGCCATCTCTCTAGTGCCTGGTGTTTGTTTTTGAGGCCTATGTGGCCTCTTGAATTTCGGATCCTCCTGTCTCCACTTCCCTAGTGCTGGGATTACAGGCATATACCACCACGCTCAGTTTACGTAGTGCTGGGGATTGAACTCAGTGCATGCCAGCAAGCACTCTACCAGCTGGGCTAGCTCCCTAGACCTACTTAATACTACCAGCTTGACTGAGCCACCTGAGCCCTTCTCACTTCAACCTCAAGCAAAGGTCAGGAAAGGAGTAGGGATGGACAGTGAACATGGGTGTGATCTTAGCTGTGTATATGGTGGAGGGATGTGTCCCACAGCCAGTGGGTCTTCAGGAAGTGGAAGGGAGGCAGTTGACTTCCTGTGGGAGAATGAACACACTTAAATTGCTGATTCCCTCTCCCTGTTATCTGGGTCAGTTAATCCCGACATAGAGCTGCCAGCTGAGCTCTCCCCTGGTCAAGCTGCTCAGCTTTGAAATTCTCCTCCAGGCCACCTCGCCCAATGATGTCAGACTGGAGAGAGCAATGCCAACCCTCCCCTCTCACTAGATGATGTACGAGGGGAAGTGCACTGTGTCTTTGCTCAGGAAACATCTGGTTGATCCAGCAATCCTCAGGCAGGTCACCACTTTATGAATTAGTGGAACAGAATCTGATGGGAAGATGGGGAGCTTTGAGATTATTCAACCTCACCATCAAGAGTCACAGACGCAAATGAGATGTGAGGAAACAGACACCCCCCTCACCCCTACACCCCCAGCAAGCACTTTACAGGGACCAGGCACTGTTGCATACAGCCATATTTCCTAGCTTGTAATGGAAAACGAATGCTGTTTACAAGAGCTTAAAGTAGCTGAAATAGGAACATGAGCCAAGCTGTGTAGTGGAGGATAAACTACTTGGAAGCTTTCAGCGGACCTGTAATTATTCAATACAGGGCCTGAAATATAGACTTCTAATGAAGAATGTTATTCAGTCTCACTCAGAAAATGAAACACCACATTCATCGGGAAGCTGAATCCATGACCACTTAAAAACAGGTCCAGCCCCTCAGAAGCTGTCTGACATAAAACAAAAGTTACTGTATAGCTTGCAAGGAGCTCCCCAACTGCAGTTTTTGTCCTGCTTGGTTTCCATTGACTGTTTCTCAGTGTATGAGCCATTAGAGGGGAACTGGGTACAACAGATAAGATAGTTGTGGAATGCTGCCCTCTCCCAGGTCTGTCCCTGGGGAAATGCAGGTTCTCTTCACAGTCAGATCACTGGCCTTCAGTAGAAAGACCTCTTTGAGTGATGTCCCTCCCATCTCTCAGTTCAGTCAATAATGCTGTTCCGCTATGCAGACTTTTAGAGGGTAGATATGTGCCTTCTAAAGGTATCGAATCAGAATGAACAAAGCAAATAATAATAAGGAGATAAAACGCCCCGAAAAACAAAGTAACTCGTTTTTTTTTATTTAAAATTCTAAAAATTAAAAATGACCTGGAGGCCCAGGCCTTTAATGCTTTTGGAATGCTGATACGGTTGGACTGCCAAGTTCAAGGGCCTGCCCAAGCCACAGAATGAGTTCAAAGCTAGCCTGGTCCAGTTAGCAAGCAGTTGTCTAAAAATAAGAAATGGGTTGGGGATGTAGGTCCAGGGTGACATGGTTTGCCTGTGCTTGCCTGGTATATGCAAGGCCCTGGGTTCAACCCTAGTAGCACAAAAGAAATAAAATAAAATTATAAAAATTTAATTTGGTCTCAACATCTGTTCTTTGGTAAGAATTAGGTAGAAGATAAAATTGAGAGTGATTTGGTTTCTGGACCTGCTCTCTGACAGCGGAACAGAGGTGACAGTGACGGGCACTGGCGGTTGCTGATGACCACTGAGTTATTCACCCTGTCAGCAGAGAAGTTAGAATATTTTTCTGTTTAAAATATTGGGTTCATAATTCAAAATAAGACACAGTTCTGTCCTGTAATACAGGCTAAATAAATGAATAATCGGCAAGTAGCACTTACTAGTAAATACTGTAGTTTGTACAGGCAAGATAGTGACGTAGAGGGCAAATCATCACCTGTTCCCTCGCTGCTTCTACAGTGAAGCCTATCAGAGGAGGCGACATTTTGACAGTGACATGCTTGCGGATTTCACGCTTATAGAGATCAGAGAAAAAGGCACTGCAGGCAAGGAGGACCAGTGATACAAGAAGCAGTGAGGAACAAGCTTAGGGCCATGATGGGACAGAGAGAGGAACAGCAGCACTGGAATGTGAGGGTGAAGGAAGAGGGTGCCTGGAACACTGCAGCCAAAGCATGCAGGCTTCGTCACTCAGGGCAGGAATCTGTAGGTTAGTAAGTGTTCCAGGAAGTCACGGAAGGTCATACTGACATGCTCTGACTTTATGTTCAGAAAACCTCCCTCTTACTAGTGCATGGAAACGTCATTGTAGGGATGCACCAATGAAGATTAGTTCACAGCTTTAAAAGTGGCCTATGGGACTGGTGAGATGGCTCAGTGGTTAAGAGCACTGATTGCCCTTGCAGAGGACACAGGTTTTCAGTTCCCAGCACCCACATGGTGACTAACAACTGTTCTTAACTCCAGTTCCAGGGGGATCTGACGCCCTCTTCTGGCCTCCACAGGCATTGCACACATGGGTGCACTTACACACATGCAGACAAAACACTCATAGATATAAAATAAAAATAAATAAAATAAAATAAGTGGTTTATGGGACTGTAGAGATGGCTCAGTGGTTAAGAGCATTTGCTGCCTTTCCAGATTGGTTCCCAGCAACCACATCAGGTAGCTCACAACTGCCTGTAACTCCAACTCCAGGCGCTCTTCCAGCCTCCGTAAACACCTGCACACACAAATCATATACATGGGGGAGGGGGAGAGAATTAAAAATAAATTAAAAGTGGTACAAAGGGCAACAAGAAATACGTGGACAAAGATTGTGGCAAAACAAAATGCAAAGAAGCAGATATTCTCTCTCTCACTGTCTCCCTCTCTCACTGTCTCATCTGTCTCTCTCAATCTGTCTCTCTGTCTCCCTCTCTCTGTTTATGTCTCTGTACATATGTATGTGTGTGTGCACGTGGAGGGGGTACATCTATGTATGTGTCCATAGAGACTAGAAGAGGGCCTTTGAGTTCCCTGCCCACCCCTTGGTCAGATGAGCTACCTTGAGCACATACTATGCCACATATTCTTCATTAGGAAGCTGGAGAATCTATTTTCTGTCTCACCCAAGGCTAATTCTCAAGAATCCTGCTTATCACACAACAGGAGTTTAGTAATATTAAGTCTTTTCTGTCTTATCTGAGAACATTAGCTTCTCAGCTAAATAAAATGATTTTGTGTCAGTTTGACTGGGTCATGAAGTGCCCAGAAATTTGATCAATTGTCCTTCTGGATGTGCCTGTGAGGGTGTTTGGAGACAAAAGGATTGGAAGACAGATCACTCTCCTTAACGTGGGTGGCCTCATTCAATCAGTTGAAGGCCTGAACAGAACCCAAGGGCTGAGCTCAGAGTAGGCTGGAGCTGCTCCTGTCTGTTTTAAGCTGTTTTAAGCTGAGATTGATCTTTTCTGGCTTTCGGATCCTGAAGAACTGAAATATCACCCTCTCCTTGAGTCCCCTGCCTGTGACCTTTCCTACTAGAATTGTGCTATGGCTACAGCTCTCTAACTACAGATCTCAGAACTTCTTAACCACCTTGTCAGTTCTGTGTTCCTGGACTGATGCAACAAGCCTGCGAAAGAGCTGGTTCAAGCAGGAACTGTTCTGTCTGAAGGCACTGGATTTCATTTTGGGTTCCACTGATTTTTCAAAACCCAATGAATACCTTAGACTAGATTTATAATGAGCCTTGAATTTGGATAGACCTTCGGGACTATTTCCTTCATAGGCCAAAAGGTTAGCCTGAGGCTCAGCATGGAGACTGAGATTAAAACTCAATTGTACACTTGAGTTTTAATAGCTAATAACTGCCAACACTAGCTGGCCATTTACTAAACTGACTAGAGCAAGTCGGAGATGGTGGCCCTCTTACAAAATGCCAGGCATAGGCCAGGACACCAGAAGCCTATTGGTGAGGTAGCAGCTGAACTAGTTCCAATCTCCTGGACCAAAGGGACCCTCTCCTCTGAGCTAGTCTTTAGTTGGCATAAGTGAAACTGCTATTTTTTTAAATGGCAGTTCATTGGTAAAGTCCTTGTCTTCTAAGAATGAGGACCTGAGTTCAACAACCAGAACGCACATGAAAGAAAAAAAAAAAAAGCTGAGCATGATAGTACATAGGCTGTTTTGTCGTGTTGAATCTTCTGTCCAGTGGCCATGCCATTGCTGCACCTTATGAAACAGAAACCAGTTACATGCATCCAAACAGATGTATATATATGCACACATAGAAACACATTCACCTAATTAAGACATTTTCTAACACCCTCCCCATATGTGACCCAATCAAGCGATATATTTCTGCCTTTTCAAGCTAAGAAAAATTCTTCCCTGGTGTTTGGGGATGAACACAGTAGAACTCAGAGAAAGTACTGCTTACTCTGTAAATGTCTCTCTTTCTTTCCCATTTCTGGGTCCTGTCATGGTTTTTCTCTGACAGACTGTATGACATGATGAACTTGTATGTAGCATGGAGCCAGGAGAAGCAAGAGGTACATGGATGCCCCCGACCCCCGGTGCCTTTTACTTTTTCCAGTTAAATTTCAGAACTGGCCCCCTGCTTTAGCAGCTCCACTAATGTATGGGCAACTCTGCATTGTGCCAGATGGAGTAACAAGGCTTCGAGAACCTTGGAGGGTCCCTCATGGCCACACTGGAGGCATCCTATGACCACAGATGTCAAGAGACCATAAAGAAAACTGAGAGGCGTTTGTTTAGGAATGAACTAATTTTATCAGGTTAACCCTCCAGCTCCATGCCTTCAGAACTCACTGGTGCTTTTTTCTAGAAAGTTCAGAGTCCTTGTGTGGCCAGCATACTTCTCCTTCAGCCACACACGGGACTCTTGCCATGGCTCCAACTATGCCAGTCCTTCTCATTCTTCAGATGTTGACTGACTGCTTTGGACAAGTCTTTTTTCAGTTGGTTCTTTTGTCTAAAATGGTTTTCTCCACCTTCTCCCACCAGCTCCCAGAAGTTCTTCTTGATCTTCAACCCTGGCTGGCGTCTCATGTGGCAGGAGCCTCCGTTAGCACTTACTACTCTTTAGCTGCTTGTTCACGGTTTCTTCTTGAACAGACCACAAAGCTCCTTGAGGGCAGGTGCCGAGTCTGGCTTATTCATTCCAGGAGCCACCCTGCCTGTCCTCAGACCTGCTGACCTCAGCCTTTGGCCAGATGTCTCCATGCTTTTTACAAATGATTCTCTGACTAGGTGGTACCTTCCTGCTTTGTTTCTTCTGAATCCCTCTGGGAAGCAGGAGGTAGGAAGGGCAGGCCTTGTGGATGGGAGGCCTGAGGGAGCAAAGTCAACAAAGGAGCCAGGCCAGGACTCTCACTGTGAAACAGGGACATTTTCAAGGGAAATGACCGTCTCCTGGAACTCATCAGTTCCAAGGTGATTACTAACTTTTAAAAATTGTGTGCAGTGAGAATAATTCACCTGTGGAAAGAATTTATCCCCACAGCAATACAACTCTTGCCAGTAAGTTTCACCTGAAATCCTGGCTAAGATGGGGTGGGCTCAGTCCAGGCTGAGCCATTTCCAAACACATGCCCACATATGACCTGATCCTGCATCCCAGCAAAGCCATCCTTTAGCACGACCAGCGTGAACCTAAGGCATCTAAACCCCCCAAAATACTGGCTTGAGGAGTTGTTTGGCCTAGACCAATGGGAACGAGGCTTTCTATCTGGATATGTTGCATCTTCTGAGTTTACATCATTTTTTCATTCTTCTCTAAGCTATTGATTCACCTTGTTGCCATTTGAAGGCCTACTGCATGCTACCCTACAGCCAGTAATCAGTGTACAATAATTACTTCGACCCCAAAACTTAATGCCTCCTCTATGAGGCAGACATGGGAAAAACAAGCCCAACATTGCTGCAGTATGTTTATAATTTTCAAGTTCCACCTCCATGGAACTCAGGTGCACCTGAGTATCAGTTTTACTTCTTTTTCACGGTTCTGGAATCAACTAGAACTCAGGCAGGTGTTTCCCAGTTTCCCGCGGTTTTCATATTTATATGTTATGTAGGGTTGTCCTCAAATAAGTAAGGCAAAAAGCCAGCCACTGATTATACAAACTATAGCAACTTTAATACTTTTACCCAAGTGCCTTACCTAAAACTTGGTTAAGCTGTAATCCCAGCACCTGGAAAGCTGAGGCAGGAGGACTGTGAGTTCAACTCCAGCCTGGTTGATACAGAGAGACTCTCTCAAAACAAAACAAACAACAACAAAGCCATTTGATGTGCTTAGTGTTATCAAAGTCCTTCACTGTTTAAAGAAAAGACTTGTGTGGCACCATTTCATGTCAGTTCTGTTCAAAAACCGTGACCTTAGTGTTTGCATTTGCAAAGGGTCTATGCACTCATGGTAGAAGGCATGATGAGATTTTAATGACAAATTTATGAAACGTTAGCTTATTTAGATAACCCTAGCCATAGGAACACAATGACTGGGCCCCAGCAGGCATATACCATAGGGAGAATTTAATTTGCACGACAACACAGTACCTATTGAAAAGAAATCTTTTTTCTTCCTTTATTACTTTCTATGCATCTTTCTTTTTCTGCTTAGTATGAGCCTATTTACTGCTGTTAGCAGTATTCCTACCACCAAACGCAGGTTAACATCAAAGACAACTTGGAGAACAGAGATGAATCTTAAGCTTAATTTGAGCCCCATGCCAGTACCTACCTGAAGCCAGTATGCCCGGCCTTGCCTATAAGAGAGCTCCTAATTCCCTTCTGTTCACGCCCATGAGCTGGATGTTAGTGCAAACAAAAAGGACCTGACAAAGTTTCTCTTACAAGAAAAGGGCAGGAAGGAAGCTGTGCCCACGAGAAGTCCAAGTCAGTCTGTATTTATTCACCGTGCGGCACCTTTCTCCCCTGAGGAATACTACAAGGAATCCCATTTGCACAACTCTGGCTTTGCATCCTGAATTTCTATAACCATCAACCAAGGTTTGGTACCATCACACAGAGTAGTTTCAACTTTTCCCTGAGATCATTAAGGCTGTGCCATAGCAAGAGTATCTTTCCCTACCAAAATTCAGGATAAAACATGGAGCCTTTTGATAGTAGAAGAGGTAGAATTCCTAAGAGTAAAGGTAAAGGATCACCAAATCACTAATTAAATTTGACCTGGTTGTAAACCATTACTTCCCCTTCAACATCTCCAAACATTCTAGAAGGGAAAGTTACCTTACTACACAGACAGTCTCATAGAACTATGCACAAGCCATCTTTGTTCTGGAGGCCTTGAGACTGCAGTTACACACATGACTAGAGAGGTATAAGCGGCATTTTCCAGTGGCTTCTGGGAAAGAGACAAACCCAGATATCAGCGATCAGGAAAAGGTAATTATCACAGCATGTGCTTAGTCGGGCCTAGGACGCTTCTCCTAATGGTCTGATATCAAAGTAGCTGCTGATTTTCTCCAAGCAGGAACAGGGCCAACTTGCTTCTGACTTCAAACCCTAACCTACTGGAGTCAACAAAGCATAAAGAGAATGAACATCAGCCTAAGTCTCCAGTTCTGGGGCATGTAAGGTCAGCCCTGGGCCAAAGGCCCCCCTCCAGCAGCTACTGTGTTTCAAGGAAGCATATTCTAAGAAGCCTGCTTGCCAGGAATGGTCACTTAGAATTTGTTGTCTTTCCTCCACCTACCCATCCCCCTAAAATTGCAACAATGGAATGCCCCTGCTCCTCACTGATCATTTATAAACAAATGCAGGCATCCTATTCAATAGTGGAAGAAGGCAGCCTTCCCAGGGGTCACTGAGAAATGAGGCAAGCAGGTGAACCAGGTGACAGGCAAGCAGGCCTAGGGCTGTGTGCTAGAGGGCGTGTGGGCTCTGAAGACAGAAATGTGAAAAGAAAACCAAGCATCAGCCGGTTGTGGTACATTCAAAGACGTCATTCGTTGGGTGCCAGGTCTGATTCTCCTTCTTAGGTTTTCTTGAGGTAGTTGTGACAGGCTTTTGCTGTCTCTTTCAAAAAGTTTGGAACTCCATTCTGCAAAGGAGAAAACATGTTTCTTTATCATCCTCTTTCATTCTGTAGAAGGTGGTAAAAGATAAGCAATGGTGGCTTTGGGGCTAATAAAAAATGATGGGGCCCTTGGTCCAATTTCAGCACAGTGTTGTCACAGAAAATGGCACAATGCAGGACCCAGAACAGGCAGACTGTTACCCCAAGACAGAGTTTATGTTTGACTTTCACTAACAAAAACTCAAAAGCCCTTTCTGAGATATTCATGTGTGTGTGTGTGTGTGTGGTGATGTGTGGTTTGGTTTGGTCTTTTTGACACAGGGTCTTGCTATGCATCCCTGGCTAGCCTTGTACTATGGAGACCAGACTGGCCTTGAACTCACAGAGATTCACCTGCCTCTGCTTCCTGAGTGCTAGGATGAAAGGCGTGCACCACTATGCCTGGCAGATTTTTTTTTTTTTTAAAGAAAAGACAGGGGCTGGAGAGATGGCTCAGTGGTTAAGAGCACTGACTGCTCTTGCAGAGGACCTGGGTTCGATTCCCAGCACCCACATGGTGGCTACAAACTATCCTTAACTCCAGTTCCAGGGGAATCCGAAGCCCTCTTCTGACCTCCATGGCATCGCACGACACGGATGCACTCACATATATGCAGGCAATACACTCATACACATAAAATAAAAATAATAATAAAAAATATTTTTAAAAAGACAAAGGCTTGTGGTAGAAGATAGGATGCAATATTACTTAGCGTCAAGCACTGCCCAAGACTTTCCCCAAATGTTCTTTTTCACTTCTACTCCATGCAGAAGAAAATATTCACCTTCCTTTTTAAAAAGGAAGAAAGGCTTCCCAAAATAAAACAAGGCAGTCAACAGCAGAGCCCAGATTCAGAATGGCATCTGTTTGACTCTGTAGCCAACGCCCGTTTTCACTCTCCCATCAATCACTGCAGGACCTGTACAAAGCTGGCCGAATAGCCCTCAGGAGGTCAGGCGCCCAGGCAGCGGAAGCCCCTGGAGATCCTGCCACCACTGCAATTCTCTCACCCTAGAGGGTAAAAACAGCAAGCGCCACAGAATTGGAAGTTTTCTTTAGGCCTGGGCGTGTCTGGCTGTCTCTAAGCTGGTGTTCTGTCTTACCCCTTCATGAGCAGATACCAAAAGCATTATTGTCCTTCCAGGGAGCAGAATATCATTGTCTGGAGGTTCCAGGGAGTGATCCTAGAGGGTCTGGGGCCACCGGCAGGGAGGGGCTGGCATTCCAAGTTAACATATTCTTTGTCTTTTGTCACCTCCATCCTGGGTGTTGGCCACTCCAGCCCTTACCAAGTCACTCAACCAAGCTCTTCACAAAAGAGCCTCATTATGCAGGGACAACAACGTGTCTCTTTAGTCTGACAACCCACAGGCTAAGTCAACATTTGTCAAACACACGTTCCCCCTCCTGCCTCCTGGGATCTCACCTTGGCTGCCCAGTTAATGAGCCAGGACGGAATTTGGCCACCCGGGTTATCAAAGTAGTACATGAAAACTAAAGAGGAAAAGAAAGGACAATTCAGAAACGGGGAAAAAAGCCAGAAAAATACAGCAACAAAGCCTCGCAAACCCTCTGTCTCCAGCTCCAGGCCCAGAGACCACAGAGGAAAGGAAGCAAGTGATCCCAGTAGACTGACCCCCTCCGCCTGCCCTGTGGTTACCAACACGGCAGCACCTGCTGAAAACGCAGTCATGGATACATTTTGCTGCGATTTCTTAAACACCCGGCAGATGCTAGACACTTGGATATGCTCTCATTTCATTACCTGAGGAACCCTAAGAAACCGACAGTTAACCCACTTTATAAATAAAGAAATGAAGACAAAAAAAACTCAAGGCACGTCGAGGTGACATATCTACGGTTGGTTCAGATTTATGCCCAAGGCACAGGCCACACTCATGCCAGTATGGCTGGAGGTTGATGCCCAGTTTCCTCTGTGAGGACCAGCACTCAAGGATCCCAATCTCTGGCTGTGTGCTGACCAGAAATGTATCTTTCAATACACACCTGCCAACCCACTGGCCTGCTCTGAGGTTAGCCCACTGTAGCCTTAGGATGAGCCTGAAGCCACTCTTTCTGAACCCTAGACTTTGCCTTCAATGTTCTGAGCTCATCTAGAGAAAATAACGGTCAGCAAAGAACGCCCTGGGATTGAAACACCTGTGTCAAACCCTAGGGTTTGGGGTGCTGATCCGTGGCTGTTTTGCCCCTGGGCCATTGCTACCTTCCATGTGGACAAACTTCCTGCACCTAACCTGCCTCCCCACCAGCCCAGCCTTCAGGTGGCCCTGGCAAATGGCTGGCCTGCACCCCGGGCTTTACCTTTGCTCCCCTTCTTGCCATCACTCTCGATCGCCAGGCTCTGCTTATACTGTTTTACTCGGATCACCCCAGACTTCTCAGGAAACTGAGGCAGAGAGATGCTCTGAGCCAGGACCACGTGGATCTTCCTTCCTTCCACATCCAGGTCTCGCCGTTGTCGGATGTACACATACTGCATGGCCAGTCAAGGCATGACACCAACTCCAGCATTACAGAAGAGCTCGGGGAAAGCTGCCCACGCTGGAGGCAAAGGGAAGCCCACTTGCATCTCCTCCCTTCTCTTGGGATTCCATGTACTTGCCCTGCCTGCCTACTTTCCATGAAAGGTTGAGTCTCACACGTGCCATGATTCTCATTTGAGCGCATGCACCACCTTCCCGCGAGTGATCCCTTGATGCTTTCAATTATGTGAGGAAAGCGTTTGCACTTTCTCCGGGAAACCACAGGGCTACTCACTTAGCTTTCTGCTCCTGGGTAAGCTAATCATACTCAGACTCAGTTTCCCTGCCTAAAAAAGGAAGTTCTGCTGGTCACCAGCCAAGTATGTTGGGGGCATCCGAGAAATATGGGGCATAAGAAACACTGGCTAGAAATAATATCATTCCAGGCTAGAAAGATGGCTCAGTGGTTAAGAGCACTGACAGCTCCTACAGAAGATCCAGGTTCAATTCCCAGAACCCACATGGCAGCTAACAACCATCCACAATCCATAACTCCAGTTCCAGGGGATCCAACACCTTCTTCTGACCTCCTCTGGCACTGCACAACACAGGTGCACTCACACACATGCAGGCAACACACACGTACACATAAAATAAAGATAATAATTTTTTAAAAAGGAATAGCATCATTCCTTTGTCCTGTCCTCGTGCAAAACTATAAGTATAGACCTCTATGCAAGAAAGAAACCAAGCAATATCACAGCTATAACCACGGAAAGACCCATGAATAGCTGAATATTTAGTAGGGAGAGGTTCTCCCTGAGTTAATTGGGTTCACCAAGAACAGCAAAGCTATCTCACCTCTGTAAAAATGCACAGAACCTCCCCGAGGTCTAGGGCACTATTCTACAAAAGACAACTAAATATTAAACATTTCAGAGCAAGTGTCCTTATCCTTTTTCAATTAATTTTTTAAGTTAGCGTACAGAGTGATGGGTTTCTCCAGGGCGCCTCTCTTCATCTGTACCACTACACCCAAGCTGGTCCAGCCCCTCACTCCTGCTGCCCTCCCAGGCTCTCTGCCTCCCCTAGCTGGTTCTCCTCTCCCAAATAGCTCTTCGTGTCACGCACATTCTATGACCCTCTCTTTTGCCCCTCCCTTAAGACCTCTTCCTTCCTGTCGCCATCTGCCTTCCTGCTTCATGATCTATACTCACATACACACACTTAGATAACTAAATCTAGGTTGTGCATATGAGAGAAAGTGTGGCACTTGTCTTTCTGAGGCTGCTTTATTTCATTTATCTTAATGACTTCCAGTTCTACCCATTTTCCTGCGAATGTCACAGTTTCATTTTTCTCTAGGATTATATAAAATTCCATTCTCTATATGGACTGTATTTTCTTTATCCATTCGTCTGTCGATGGATGTGTAAGCCAATTGTTTTCTAGCCGTTGAGAACAGTGCAGCAAGAAGCATGGGCTTGCAAGTATCCCTGGCATGCTGACTCAGTCCTTCGGGTACACACTAGAGTGCTGCACGTGGGTTATACAGCAGCTTATTTTCGGTTTAAGGATCTTCACTTTATAAAGGATAAAACCAAGAAAGGCAGAGAAACTCACTCTTCCTTACCCATAGTAGCTTTGGGTTTTGAACACGGTTGGAACTGTTTAGACTTGGGGACTCTTGGGCTGGCAAGATGGCCCAATAGGTAAAGACACTTGTTGCCAAACTGAGTACCTGAGTTTGATCCCTGGGACCCAGATGGTGGAAAGAGAGAACTGACTCCCATGGGTTATCCTCTGACCTCCACACATGCATCATGGCACCTGTGCACCCACATAAATACATATGCAAACAAAATAAATAGGTGCGACAAAAAAAAATTTAAAGACTCGGGACTCTTACAGATGGACTTAAATACATTTTTCATTAGAAGATGGTCTTGCGTCTTTGAGGACTAGGAGGACTGTTACAGTGTAAAAGTCACGTGTTTGAGTAGATGCTGATAAGGGGTGAATTATCGATGGTTAATCTTCATTCTAACATCACTGTATTTGGAATCACCAAGAAGACATGCCTCCAGGTATGTCTTGGGGGGATGGTTCCTGAGAGGTTTAATGAGGAAAGACCCATGCTGAATGTGGGGGGCACCATCCTATGGACTGGGATCCCTGACCAAATAAGAGGAGAAAAGGAGAAAGCCAGATGAGCCCCACCACCCCACTCCCTCTGTGCCGACTGCGAGGCCTCCCGGCCCCTATTCCCCTGCTGCCATGGCCTCTGCCACGCTTTCCCCGCCATGATGGGCTGGGCCTTTTTAAACTGCGAGCCCAAATAAATCTTCCTTTAAGTTGCCTCTGTCCATTATTTGTCAGAGATGGACTATACCAGGTGAGACAATATGACCTATTCAAACTCAGGCCTGGATCTGATATTTGGATAGAACGTCACAGGTACATGAGGCTCAGATCTTTTTAGTTTATTGTATTTTTAAAAAACAATGTTCAGTTTTACCCTAGATGGAATTTAAAATTTGAAAATACTCTAGTTACTCTAAGAACAACTACGTGCATGTGTGTATGTGTGTGTGTGTATTAAACAAAGCCCCACAACACCAAGTGTTCCTACAACATCTACCAACCTGGTTCTGCATCTTTTCTCTCTCAAGTACTTTTTCTTACAGCAAATATTAATCTCACTCCACACCTTGACCAGCTCCTGGGACAGACATCACCCAATATGGAAGAAAAGCTACCTGGATACATTGATTAAAAATTGGAAGAGGGGGCTGGAGAGATGGCTCATGGGTTGGGAGCACTAGCTGCTCTTTCAGAGGACCTGAGTTTGATTCCCAACACCCACATGGTGGCTAAAAACCATCTGTAACTCCTGTTCCAGGTGTTCTAACACCCTCTTCCAGCCTCCATGGGCATTGCATGACATGGGTGCACTTATATACATGCAGGCAAAACACTCATACATATAAAAATAACTAACTCTTTTAAAAAAACTAACACATTGGCTGGACGTGGTGGTCGCATGCCTTTAATCCCAGCTCTCAGAAGGCAGAGGCAGGTGGATCTCTGTGAGTTCAAGGCCAGCCTGGTCTACATAGTAAGTTCCAGGACAGCTGGGGCTACAGGGAGACCCTGTCTCAAAAGGACCAAAAAAAAAAAAAAAAAAAAAAAAAAAAAAAAAAAAAAAAAAAAAACCATTGAAAGATTCTTTTGGAGGGGTTTGCCAATCCAGCCTGCTGTGTAACCTATGACCACCAGTTCTCAGATGCCCAGACAAATGAAGACTATTTTCCAAGGTCACACAACAAACCATGGAATGTGCTCCATTTCACCTGGTTCATCTCATCTGCTCCAAAATGAATGCTCTTCTCCCCTCACTGCACAGTTCTATGTGCTCAAGTATCAATATCCCGTGTTGAGGACACACACACACACATGGACACACACACACACACACACACACACACACAAATGTAAAAACTAAAAAACTTCCTGTAAGACTGCATGGCTCTGGAAAGCTGGTGAAAAAGGAGACTTTGAGATGACCCACGTGTCCTCTGCTGAGAACACCTGTCCATCAGTGTCACAGTGAGGTCAGAGAGGTAAGCTAAGGCCCTGATCAAAATATCTGTCTTGAGCCTGTATCCCAAACCTCCAGCACCCACATTAGTTGTACAAAACCTGCAGTTATCAACTTCTCTTTACCTCAGTTTCCTTAACCCTAAAATGGAGTTAATGATGCCTATCTTGTACTGTTGCTGGCAGGATTGAAGAAAACTATATAGAATGTAAGGGATTAATTATGTTACTATAGTGCCCTGGATATTATACCAGGAAATAAATTCCTAAGGTGCTTATTACCTAGGGTAGGGTATACACACACACCCTCTTCTCAGAGAACAATTATTTAGGAACACTTACACAATGTCTGAGCTAGAAAAGATTTCAGTGATCCCCTACTTTTGGTGCCTTCCACTCTTTCCTAGTCCATAAAATCTTTGGTAAAAATGTCTTTTATATAAAAGCTCAGTATGTAAGACACTCAGTTACTGTGACTGAACAGGACAACAAACGGGTCAGAATATCACCTGTCAGCCATCCTAACCCCATCCTGCCCCAGTCAGCAAATCTCCATCTCATCTTCCTACTTTGCTGGGGCCTCTTAAATTCTTGGTGCTGTAGTTTGAATGTGAAATGTCCCCCATAAGCTCATGTGTTTGAATACTTAGTCCCCAAATGGTGATGCTGTCTTGGATTTGGGAAGGTTGTGGAACCATTAGGAGACAGATCCTTACTAAAGGACAGGAGTAACTCGGGGCAGGTATTGAGGTTAATAACAGTGGCCCCACTTTTGTCAGCTCTCTGCTTCCCAGGTGTGGATCAAATGTGAGCAGGTGCTTCCTGTGCTCACGTGCTGTTGCCGTGGCTTCCCCACCATGATGGACCGTATCCCTTCTTGGACAATAAGCAACATAAAGCCATCTGTCCTTCGGTCTCTTCTTGTCAGGTATTTGCTCACAGCAACAAGTAAGTAATATACTTGAGATGTCCGAAAAACTCCTTACATTTCATTCAACTGCTTTACCTCATAATAAAGAAATGGAGGGGAGGGGCCGGTGTCCAAAGACAACCCTCAGAGGGCCCTGTTGAGGGAGGAGAGCTGGAAATGAAGGATGCGTTCTGGTGCCTCTTTTTTTTTTTTTTTTTAATCTTTTTGAGACAGGATCCCCCTGCAGCCCCAGCTGGCCTGGAACTTGCTATGTAGACCAGGCTGGCCTGGAACTCACAGAGATCTACCTGCTGGGATTAAAGGCGTGCACCACCACTGGTACCCCTCATACCCAGCTGTAGGTCTGTCATCTCACCTTTCTGGGTTTTACCTCCTCCTCTGTAGGTTGAAGGGGCTGGACCACACTCTTCATAAACTCTTCCTCCCAGATTCCCAATTCTGTGGCCCATCACTTTCCAACATTTGACAACTTCTCTGGGCAGGATACGCTATCCCATACTGCCTCTATTTACAGATGTCCTGTGTGATTGCACTCAGAATTCACACCTTCAAGTCTCTGAGATTTGTACAAACAGCAGCCACCTCAGCAGATGCTCCCACAAGAATCAAAGACAGTATGGTCTATACCTGCTGCGAAATCAGCAAAGCCCTGCGGGGTGCAATGGGCACAGGACACTGAGAGGATCGAACAGCAGAGTGCACTGCAGAAAGGATACATCTCTGTTGGACATGGGGAAGGGGTATTTCACTTCCCAGTACGCCACCATCTTTCCATCGCACTCCATTTCATAGAGTTCTGGAGGAAACAAAAGAGGTTAATGAATCTGGAAACTTCTGAAGCTTCTGTAGAAGGAAGGCTAGATTGCCTTGGTATATGATAAATCTCTAGCTCACAAAAAGTAGAATTTTTAAAGTAGATTTATTGCCACTGAAAACTTGCTGCTCGGGGACAGTCTATAGGACAGAAAAGCATAGTAAATATAAAGAAGCTCAACAAAACTTGCCCGTCGTACAACACCAACAGCATGCTGGGACAGAATGCAACAAACTGGGTATCAAAAACCAGCCAGCGGTTTTAAAGCAGGGATACCACCAGATGTCACTAGAGCACCAGGAGTTTCGCTTCCGACCCTTTCTTCCAACATCAAGGTTTGTCTCCTAGTGGCTAGCCTGAGACTATCTGGGAGACTGGCATGTACAGATTCCAGGCATGTGGGAATAAAGAGCCCACAGAGGGCAGTGTCCTTAAAGAGTTAGAACATGGATGAACTGTGGCTAACTCTGGGTTTCTTGCATCTTTCCTTTCTCCACAGTACGCCACAGCATCAGTGACCAAATTTCCTTAATGTTCATTCTCTTGTGTCAGGGTTCAGGGTTCAGAGGGAGGCAGCAAAGGAGCCGAGTGACAGACATGCACACCAGGCTTCCACACAGCCAGATATCTAGAAAGGAATCAAGACATCCCCGCACAGACGCCAAAGGGATATATTTCGCTTTTGAAAGAAAATCTAAGAGAAACAGACCATTGATTAAGAAGCTCGCTGGCATCTCAGTGCCACAGGAGGCTGAAGGCAGTTCTGAAAGGGAATGAGTGGGCTTGTTACCCCTGCGTGTTCAGCATTTCTTCCCCTCCCCCTTCTCTTGCCAGCATCTCAACTGTCTTCCAGTGCCTCATCCATTCCTGCTTCTCTACTATGAGGCTTAAGTAGGGTAAGTGGTCATTCTGGGGCCGGGAAAAGGAGCAAGACACAGCTATAGTGATCAACTGACCAGAGCTTTAGCTGGTCTCTCTAGCAAGTTTGGCCCAAGAGATTCATAAGACTCTCGGATGCTCCCAATACCCAGGAGGAGCAGAATGAGCTAAGAGCTTCCAAATCATTCCCAACCATGGCATCAACTACGCCAGAGGCCACACTGCACAAGCAGTTGATGCTAGGTAGCAGACGGAAGAGACTCTATAACGACTTCTCATTAAAGTCACTACCTTAGCTGTCATGAACAAATGGGTTTTGCAGGCTGTCCGCTTCCTCGTGTTGCTCTTTTCCAAACAGAAGATGCCTGGGCATCTGTTGGCAGAATCTGAGTCACATGACTACACCATGGATTCGGAGGAAATGAGACAGTCAGCCTACTCCCTTGGATAGGCAAATGTGATGCTGCCCCCTAATGAGGAAGGGTAATGAAAACATGAAGTTGCTGGACACCAGCCCCCTAATGAGGAAGGGTAATGAAAACATGAAGTTGCTGGACACTGAGATGCCGCAGATAAACAGATGCTCTGAGGTTAATGCTAAAGAGGGAGCGACTCCACTGACTTCACAAGGGAAGTGGAATTCTCTTCCCTGGAGTTATCTACATCATTAAAATGTAAACCTGGATCTTCTGCGGGACGGTCTCATCAGGAACAGGAATCAGCCTGAGGATTAAGTCAACACAGAAGACAGTCTGGAGTTGAAGAAACATTGATGAAGTTACTCAAGTTTCCAAAGCGACACAGAAACCCCTGTGTCCTTCCTTGCCATGAAATAACACACTCGTTTTGTTGTTGTTTCCTTTTTTCTAATAACTTAAAACTTTATTAGGAATGAAAGGAATCAATCTGGAAACAACATCCTGAGATTCACAGAGGTAGAGGAGTCCCTGAGTCTCAGAGAGGGCCAAGGCAGGTTGCAGACAAAGCTAGGACTCCAGGCCTGATATTCTGACGTTTACTGTCCCAGATAGCTGAGAGAGGCCAGAGAGCCAAGACCCTACCACCAACCTACAGAGGTGTGGAAAGAGGCCCAGGACAGGCCCTTGAGCCCAGAGACAGGAGTCCAGACACTGTGGGAAGGGATTGCCAAAACCCCCAAATAAAGGGGTTCTCCACTGGGAACATAGTAAGTCACAGAGCAGGGGTCCTCTGGTGCAAGTTGATAAGATGTGGCTGAGTCTTCAGGTGTTTAAAAGAACAGGACTGAGGGCAGCCTCAGGGCTGGAGCTCTGCTTTATACTTCTGCAACCTCTCATCCAGAGCAGAGTGTGGTCTCATCCTTCATAAAACAGAAGTGGAGGTGGTACTCAAAGTGCTTGATGGGGTTGACTGAAGAAGATAGAGATGGCCACTAGGCCCTTGTTCTTGGTCGTCCACTTGGCAGAGTGTCTGTCTAAGGCATCAAACATCTTGCTCTTGAAGTCCAAGATGCCTACAGTGAGGAAATAGCTGCCTTGGGTGAGTCAAGGGCCTGAGGCCCACTGACAGCAGGCTGAGGATCACATGGTTGCAGTTGAGCTGCATGGCCTGCAGGAGCTGCACAAAATAGCTCCTGGGTTGGATGAAGTGTTATCACTCCCATTCAAAACACTGTTCCATCAGCCTTGGCCTGGGTGAGACAGTGGAAGACTGAGTTCCAGAGCACAGTCCTCAGGTGCTTCCTGATGTTATCAGGACCCAGCCCACCTTCTAGCTTTTGCCTGAGCTGCCTATGGTTAGGGTCTGTCCCCGTATGCCAGGGAGGTTGTCGACAATGATGTATTGGCACTCATCACAATCAGCTACTGGTAGACCTCACCGGCCTTGCACAGGGTGTCACACTGCTGGCATAGGCTAGCCACCAGCTCTAGTTCCATCTTGGAGAATAACCTTCCCAGGGGATACTAAGTGTGTTGAAGACCAGGGTCTTGGTGTGAGATGCTGGCCTGCTCTGTGGGGTCAGCCAAAAGATTCTAACTGCCTCTTAGGAAAGGGGCTCAACTTCAGGAACACAAACACAAACACAGGGTGACCTGAGCCATCAGTGTCATGGGTTCATAGCAGTCAAAATTAGCTTCACTGATGATGACCTCATCCCCTTCATCCACCAGGGCCTGAAAGGCTGTAAACAGGCCCAGCAGAACATTTTGGAGTGAATCTAACTCTTATACCAGTTGCTTGCCAAAGACATTTGCCAGGATCTTTGTCAGTAGTGTGTAACCAAAGGACATGGTGTACTGGTTGAGCATGAAGTTGCTGCTGGTGACTTGTTGAAAGGTTTTCACAGCAAAGTCTGGAAGTGTTAAGTCAGGAAAGTCCTGGTTCAAGTTCACAGCATCATACTCATTGGACAGTTTGATAAACTCTTCCCAAAGGTTGTGGCTGATCCCATCTAGTCTTCCAGTCTGCAGCTGATGCCATGGTGAGCTCAAATTGAGCTGCTTTGCCAAACAGACCCCAAATATATCCCCAGAGGTCCTTGTTCCTTTAAAGAGGTTGAGTCCTACCAGTGCCACTTGCCCACAGCTGATGTTGCTTTTGGTGGCCTTTTTTTGCTGGAGCTTTGACTAAGGATGCCACATTCCCTTGGCTGACTCCACAGGTCTCTTCTACTACAACTGAGATGGAAGAGGACACTCCCAGCTCTAAGATGCAGGAGGCTCCCTGTTTAATGATTTTTCACATCTCTTCCAGGGTAAACCTCAATCATGTAGTCTAGAAGCCATGCTAGGTCTTAGAAGCTCTGGACCCTCTTCCTGTCATAGATAACTGAATGTTCTCCACTTAGTAGAAGAGCTGGGACAGGGTCTGCTGTTCTAACCAACACAGTAACACCAAACTGCCCGTGGCCTCTGAACAGGCTGCCTATGCCTCCATTCCCCTTCAACCACCCATATCCTGACTCTCTCACCTCCTCACATGTATCTGTTCTTGTCTGTTTAGAAACCTTTGATTTGACTTCCAAAAGAAAGCTTGGATACCCCCTCTTCTGAGAAGGCTTCCATGGCCTTCAAAGCACATGGGATAATACACAACACAAGAAGCAGAACAAAGAAATGTGGGAACAAAAGGAAGACTGAATGTAAGCTCATGTCAGGGGTTAGCCCTGTAAGTGTAAGCCCCACATTTACACGACTTGGAGGGCAAAATTAAAAAGGAAGGACAACACATTGAAATGATATTCGTTCCTTCCTACAGACTAGAATAAAGAAGAGCAGCCTAACTTTCTAGAATTTTTTTAAAGTAAGTATCACTTACCTTTCACATACTGGTCCCACTGTTTCCTGTAGTCCAAGTCCATGTAGACATCTGCGAGGAGAGCTGGTGTGCAGTTGTCCAGGACACCAAATACTTTATACGCATAGAGTCCAGATGGCTATGGAAACAGAATGGAAGGAGCAATCGCTTGGTATCAGAGTGGAGATGCTATGTCACATGAAAAATAGCTGGGGCTGGTATTCCACCACATCACACACTGACCTCCTCTGGGGTCTTGGTGCAACAGCATAGAAGCAGGAGGGAACCCTGGTCTCAAGGATCTTCTATTCAGCTGTAGGCACTACTGGCAGGAATAGTCATAAGCACTAGCCAGCTGGTTTAAGTAGTATAGAAGAAGGGTTATGTAGCAAACGGTGCTTCATGGAGAAGCTGTCTCAATGGATAGGAAAGGTCTCTATGAGGACAGGCTCACAAAGTTTATCAGGATATCAGAAAGCCATTCCTGGTAGGAGGAACTGATGGATCGACATGCTTAAAGGGAGAAGCTTGGGACACAGAGTGGTAGGAGCTGAGGTTAGAGAGATTATGGGGGTCAGACTACAAAGAACCTCATAAACCATGGTAAAGGTTTGATTCTTAAAGTGTTGTGAGAAACTAAAGGATGATTTTAGACAGAGGCATGGCCAGATTGATTAGGAATACAGTTTAGGAACAATAACATCTGGTTAGATATTTTTATTTATGTTATTATCTTTTTATGTGTATGTGTTTTGCCTGCACCTGCACAAATGCACCTGTACTGTGCAATGACTACAGAGGCCAGAAGACGGCGTCAGATCCCCCGAAACTGGAGTTAAGGATGGTTGTCTGCCACCATGTGGGTGCTGGGAACTGAACCCTGGTCCTCTGGAAGAGCTCTTGACCACTGAACCAACTCTCCAGCCCCCTGATTAGTTTTAAAACTCTTGGTAAAGAATAAGATTATAAGCAAAGAAGGAGGCAGCTTAAAAAGTCAGCACACTCGTGCAGATAATAGATGAAGGTAACTGTAGCAGGGGGCGAGGACAGTGAGGGGCACAGTGATACTGGACTTTGGAGCTAAGTCAACAGGGATTGCTACTGAAGCCTGGCTGTGTGGGAAAGGAAAAAAATAACCAAGGAAAACTGAAAACTTTCGCTTGGACATCTAGTACATGGACACGGCCTTCAGAAATGAAGAAGAAACTGGGGAAGAGGTGACCTGTAGGTTACTGGGGCATTCTAGTTTAAGCCAGTTGAGATCCAAATACTAATTATACGTCCATGTTACACAGGCAGCTAGAATTCTGAAGGAGGGGTATATTTTAAATATCTACAGAACATAATGAAGCTTAATGCATTTTGTAAAATAGATTCCAACACAGAATTTTTCAACTTTTTGTTTGTTTGTTGGATTGGTTCTCCTGTGTGTGATTGTATATATAAGACTGAAAAGGAGAGGCCATCTCCTTCATATCATACTGGTTCCAGTTGGTTCGAGAAAGAAATGTCGGGGCTGGAGAGATGGCTCAGCAGTTAAGAACACTGGCTGTTCTTGAAGGAAAGACCCAGATTTGAATCCCAGCACCCACATGGCAGCTAACAACAGTTTGGCATCTCTAACACCTTATGTGCCACAGCATGGATGCCCTGATGGAAGGGCCAGCCCCATACTTGTCCTCCTGGCCCTTGTACTCACATGTGGGAACACAGTGAGGGCTTACCCTGTTCACCCATTTATGCCAGTACACAAACATTCTAATCAATAGGAAGAGAGACAATGGGCAACTTGCTCAAGAATACAGAGGTCCTGCCTCCTACACAGGCTCAACAAAAGGATACTTACACGTTAAGACAATGATCGCCCAGCCCTATGTGCTTTAGTTTTGGATATCTACATAAATTAGGACAAACTGTTTCCTTATACTAGGTCCCTTCCCTTCCTGAAATGCAGTCACAGCCCTTCATGACCCTGATTCTATCTCCAGTTCAGAAAAGAGGAACAGAAAGCCCCAAGAAGAGAAAAACAGAATGACCAACAATTTTTGTGAATGCAAAAGAATGAACTATTGTGACAACTTCCTTTAAACTCTCCCTTTGAGGCACGACTGAGAAATGCCAGGCTCCAGAGGAACAAAACTCTGGGTACCACCTTTCCTAATCTATAGTACCACATTCTTTACAGTGTCCAACAGCCTGGCCCAAATTCCTGGATCAGAGCACTTTGTCAGTCCTGAATTCTAAATGGATCCTGCAAACAGACCCATTTTCATTTCAATCGTAAAAAAAAAAAAAGCAAAATTTAATCATTATAAAAATAATCCATGTTCCTTGTAGAAAATCTGAAAATATTACAACAAAATTTTAAATGAGTCACATGTAATCCCACAATTCATAAATATCTACTGACAATATTTGATAAACAGTATTTTTTTTTTTTGAGACAGGGTCTCACTATGCAGCTGGACTGGTCTAACTCCTCATGTAGACCAGGCTGGCCTTGAACTCACAAAGTTCCACCTGCCTCTGCCTCTGCCTCCAGAGTGCACTCTGCCTTTCTGAGTGCAGGGATTAAAAGCGTACACCACTACACCCTGTTTAGACAGTAATTCTTTATAGGAAATAAACGCTCGTCTATGTGAACAAATGGACATAGTATGATATAAGCAGATGGTATTCTTATTTAAAATGTAATAATACATTAATACTATGGGAAATCCACAGGAAACAACTCTCTAAACATATTTCTGATTCCAAATATTTTTATGCAAATAAATATTTTCAGAATAATCATAAAACATAGTGTAAAATTCTAGTTTGAACCCTCACCAGGGTTGGCCTCACCAACTCTCCAGGATTGGCCACCACTGATTCACAAACTGATCTAGAAAAATGTAACTCTTTGTTTTATCTGAGCAAAGTTTTACTGAAGCTGTGTAAGGCCTTTGAAAAATCAGATTTATAAGCCAGGTATGGTAGTGTATGCCTTTAGTCCCACTACTCGGGAGGCAGAGGCAGGAAGATCTCTGTGAGTTCAAGGCCAGCCTGGTCTACATAAAAAGTTCCAGGCCAGCTGGAGCTACAGGGAGACCTTATTTCAAAAAGAACAACAACAACAACAAAAAAAACCTGTAAAATAAATAACCCGAAATATGTTTATTTAAGAGATGCTTGGCTTTTTCTAAAGCCTCCCACAAACACCTCTAAAAATGGGTCATTTTCCTCATTTATAGCAAAATATAGTGGGCACTTAATGTTCTACTTCTAAGTCAGTTTCCTACACTTCAGCTAGTCAAAGGATTATGGTGACGGTGGTCAAATTCCCCAATACCATACATGGTCTCTCACTGAACCTGGAGCTCACTGATTAGCTAGACATGGAATACAACTACCGAAGAAGCAAGATTTGGTGCGTTGTAAACCTTCTTTCTTCTGCCCTATGCGACCTCTTACGTGAATGTGCATGGCTCATAACTTTTCTCCTATGCAGGAAACTGTGTGATACCATCTCCCGGCTATGAGTGGGGACATGTTATTTGGAGCTATGGCAACTAGTCTGTGACCAAAAAGCAACAAAGAGGAAAAGGCAGAGTAGAAAGACAGAGATGCTGGCATCGTGGATCGGCTACACTGGTATCGGCAGCTGTGGCACTCAAGTTATTAGTTCTGTGAGAGAACGAAACATCTTGATTTAGGTCAATCCTTAACCTAGTTTTCTATTGCACTCAAAGCAATCCGAATTGATCCCAATGCTCCTCACTGATGCTGTGAAGTTTATGTGAACCCTGTGATCTTAGGAAATAGTAAAGATCAAAAAACAAAAGTCTGAAGAGATGGCTTGGTCTATAAAATTTTGCTCATGCAATCATGAGGACCTAACTGTGGATCCCCAGCACCCATATAAAAAGCTGGGGCGGTCTCAGAGACAGGATGATTTCTGGAGCCTGCTGGTCAACCAGTCTAGTTAATCCCTGAGCTCCATGTTCAGTGAGAGACCCTGTCTCAAAAAATAAGGTGGAGATTTGTTGAGGAAGACACAGTGTTGATCTCTGGCCTCTATATACATACGCATACATATAAATACACAGATACACACACACACACACACACACACACACACACACACACTTCGGTCTGTAAAACACTTTAAAAGAACAAAAAACAAAACAAAACAAAAAACACACTTCCCTGTAGGGCAGAACAGGCTCACAAATGACAAGCCCAGAACAGACTCTCCAAATTCCCTTTCTTTGTTTCAAAAATGATTAACTGAGCCGTCTGCCCTCGCTGATCAATCAGAACAAAATGTTTGTTAATCAAACTGGATGAATTTTCTCCTTCCTCCAAGGGCCTGACCTTTGATCCGCCCTAGCGGGAGCCTCAGGGTAAATTGCTCTGATATCTATTATTCAGTCTTGCCTCCCTTTCATCTCACTTCCCACACAGGGCTCTTCCTAACCCTTTAGAAAACTCACTAGCCTCACTTTCACAATGCTAAAGATCTAACTTAGGGACAGAGACTTTCCCCACTGCAGTAACTCCCTTCTCTCCCTGAACGTCTCTATTACTAGGTCCAAACTGCTTTCTTATTTCACATTATTCTAAAACAGACGACAAAGAAGCACTAAAACTTGTGACTATTTGAAAAAGCCAATAAGATTATCTATAAATTCAGTAAAACAGTCCAGAAGTACAAAGTATTTGTAAAATGCAGTGGCAAAGAAAGGAGAGGAGAGAAAGCACCGTGGTTCTAACACCAGGGGAGCCCTCCCAGTTTTTGATGAGTTTAACTCAGGGAGCTAAATGCTGGATGATCACAAGTTACCAAAGCCACCTGGGCAAGTGCCTCAGGCTCAAAAAGAAAAGGGAAACAGGACAAGGAGTGAGCAGAGTAGATGTCGATTTAGTAAGGAAAAGTGAGAAAAAGAACTCCTGAGGTGGAAGGGGTTTCCAGGGAGGAACACCCATACATTGTCTTGCCTGAATTGGATGAAGAATTGAGGTAATTATAAGACTGGTCATTTTTGGACACATCAGGAGCCAAGCCAATCAAAAGGTCCACATCCTTTTGAATGCTCCCTCATCCCAGCTTCAGAAGTGACCCGGGCTGCTTATCTAAATTGGGGAGCTGTCATGTGA